TAATGAAAAAGTTTTAAAGCATTTTGTAATGTTCATACGATTAATTTTTATGATTAAACCTACGATTTTTAAAAATGTTTGAAGTAAACATTTTATTTTTTGTAAACAATTTTTCAATTTCGTTAGAAATGACTTTAAATCTTTTATAATAATTTTTAAATGCGTTACGCGAAGCGCTAGTTAATAAAGTTGTAATGCTCAGATTAAAATTAAATTAAAATAATTTAAATAAATTAACTGCTTATTGGCAGTTCATTTATTTAAATCGCAGACGCATTTTATTATTTTTTTTTTTTTTCTCTTCTATTTTACAAATAAAAAAGTTCAAAACCTTTTTTTTAATTAGACTCACTAATTAGAGCATGAAGGTAGTAAAAATTACTATTTTAAAAAGACTATGTTATTTTTTTAAATAATTATTTTTTTTTTGCAACTTTTTTGACAAAATAAATGTTTATACAATTTAAAAATATTATATAAAACACTTTTTAATAAAGTTAATAAAAATTGTTATTTTATTAAACCAATCATTAGTAGTAATTTATTACTTAATTTCAAAACGTTTTGCGTAACTTTAATAACGCTTAAAAAGATAAGTTTTTATAATGTTTATTTCATCCGTAATTAAAAACATAACTAAAAGTTTTGCTTCGAGTTTAAGTTTTTATTTTCATTTTAGAGCTTATATTATTTCTTTTTCATTATGAATTTGTTTTTCGTTTCTTTCTTTAGGAATTTTTTTTGGTTAGTTTTTTTTTTAATTTTTTTCCTAGTTTAAGTTTAGCTTAGTGTTTCTACATTCAGAACATTTCTGAAATTTTTAATTCATCAAAACATATATACATTGTTTATTAAACAATCGTGGTCAAGTTGTCAAAAAATAAAATCATTTGCGTGGTCAGCAATAGGGCTCGATCGCACGCCATTCTTGTCCAAGCCTTATATATATATATATATATATATATATATATATATATATATATATATATATATATATATATATATATATATATATATATATATATATATATATATATATATATATATATATATCAGGCTTTCCCAGGAAAGACGTGCGGTTGCACACCTTGTTTGTCCACGCATAGAATAAATTTTTCTGACTAACTTTTAACAAGGGCCAAAGGATGTTTTTGAGGACAATTTGTCTAGCCATTTCACTGCTGACATTTTGAAGCTATGTGAAGAAATCAGCAACTGGTTTGCCTGATTGCCTCCCAACTCCTCACACTCTTGTCAGCCACTAGATGTGTCTTTTTTGGCCCAATAAAAAATACCTGGTGTGCTGTATTGGAAGAATACAAGTGTTCTCATAGCAAGGCCGAAAGCATGCAAAAAAACCAATTTCGCGGCCTTTTAAAGAAAGTTCTTCAAACAACCGGTGACCAGTGCAAAGCCAATGCAAAATCCTGTTTTCAGGCTTGTGGTATCAGGCCCTTTGATCCGGATTTGTTCTCAGAAAAGTTCCTTCTGCTTCTGATCAAGATGAAAAAAGTGCCAATGACATAAGGCACTGTCCGAATCGGTAATGAAAGTCTTTCAAAAAATACGTTACGACAAAGAGCCAAAAACAAGAAATTCCAAGAAAAAATTCAGATTGGAGCGGGAAAAAGTATAGTAGCTTTGTCATCAGACAATTCCAACCACGATTTTTCAACTTCTAGCACAAAAACTAAAGAAAAAGACAAAAGAGCGGCTAAAAAAGCAAAAGTTGTTTCCAATTCTAGTTCAGAAGAAGAGGCAGAAAATCAGGATGGCAAAGTGTCCTTGGTTGAAAACATTTCAACTTTAAGGTTGAAGAATTTTGGAATGATAGAAGCTGTTTCAATCACTGAAAATGATGTCAAGATAAAGTTTATGTATCCCAATGGACCATCCGCTCTTTTAAGTGGCCCAAAAAGGAGGACTTCTGTTGGATTGCCGTGGAAGACATTATTTGCAAGTTGAACATTCTGCCGGTGCCAAAACCATCACGAGCTTTTGCTTTGGACCAAGAAACAGCCAATTTGATTGAGCAGCTTTTCAATGTGGATTAATCTTTTTTTTTTTTGTGTTGATCTCGTTTGTTAAACCAAATTTATGTAGAGTTTATATTGTGCCTTTAAACAAATAGGTTACAAAAATAATTCACTTTAGGAAAATGGTTTTGAAGCTACAATTTCTCAAGTGATACTAAAGCAGCTCTTTATACTATTACCTAATATATCATTAGAAAACAATTTTAAAATAAAATTACTGCTGTAGTTAAATAACATGTCAACATTTTGTGTTTTTTATCTATATATATATATATATATATATATATATATATATATATATATATATATATATATATATATATATATATATATATATATATATATATATATATATATATATATATATATATATATATATATATATATATATAGGGCTCGAATTAAGCGTATCGCAATTGCTTTTTACACCTTCACGATTAGTTTTTTCTTAAAATATATATTTTCGCGATTAGTTTACTTTTTTAGTTGTTTATTTACTATTTTTCTAATTTAGCTTTTTTTTTGGCAATTCTTAAAAGTAATTTTTATCTTTTTTTTAAAAGAAACGTTGCTCCAAATTAACTTATTAATAATACTTTAAATTATTATTTTATAAACAATTTTATATAATTATTTTTACTACTTTAAGTATAATAAAATATATATAAATTTGTTTTTATTAAATAAAATTTCTATTAGTAAAATGTGCTAATAGAAACCAGCAACTTTTTTGCTTTCACGTTTTTTGTTTTAACGACCTTGAAACTATTGAAGTTATATTTAGTTAACTTTACTGAATGTATTGAGTATATCATAGTAAATTGACTTATAACCTAAATCAAAACAACCAGTTAAGTTAAGATAGTAACTACAGCAACTCAAGTATTAATTTAATGATTATATCAATTTATTTAATATACTCGCAAAAGTTAGCCATAGACATGTTTCAATTTAGATCTTACATGTTGTTAACACATCTAAGCTTTTAACTAATAATTATTTTAACAAAAATTGTCAAATAGAATATGAAAAACGCGACACCATTTTTTTATATGTTCATTTTATTTATAGTGACATCTAGACTAAACATTTTCTATAAATACACAAGTTGTTTTCAGGAATTTTATTTAAAAAGAAATCAATTTGAACAAGAGAACTTAAAATTTACTTATTCAAATAATTTTGTGATTAAAATTAAAAAAAAAAATTAAAATTTAAAAAAAGTGATGAAACAAGGGAGAATGAAGAAGAAAGTATTTTTTTCTCATAAATTTTGTTAACGTTTTGAATTATATATTTTTTCTTGAAAATAGTTTTGAAAGCAGAAATATTCTATTGCAAACATTCAAGCAGTGATTGCAAATTGCAAATTAAAATAAAAACTATAAAAAATTTAAATTTAATAAATTATTATACTTCTGTTCGAAAAATTTTTTTTTTTTAAAAATAATTTTTTAGAAAAAAAATTTTTATTAAACAAAATTTTTTCTTTCACTTTTTTTTTAGAAAACAATTAGAATAAAAAAAATTGAGTGAAAACATCAGTTTAAAAACCATTTGAATGAAAAACATAATTATACTTAAATTTTTAAAAGTACGCTTGATCAGGAAACAATAATTTATAAAAAACGTGGTATCTAATGTTTTTTTTGTTTTAATCTTACTCGTTTGGTCTAAAGATTATAAACTCGTATAGGTCTGTAGGCGCCAATACGATGTTTTGTTTTAGTTTATTAACTAGATCAATTTTATTTACTTGCTTTTATTTTATAAACTGTATAAATCAACACGAAACAGCGTCACAAATTTGTTTTACATAAACCCAAGCTCTTTATATTTTTAAAACAACTTTGCAGTTTGTTTTAATGTTGTTTTTATATAGTATTTAATTTTAAAAGTATTTAATTGTTATAGCTTATAACAATTAAATGCTTTTTAAAATTAACAAGTGTTTTAACGTCTGTATGAACGTATTAATAGTTTTCTTTGACTAATTAAATTGGTTTAGATAATGTAATGTTGCTTTTTCTCTTACTTTTTTACTTTTACTTTTTTAAGTATCATTTTAAGTAAAATTATACTTATAGAAAAATCTTATTAGTATTAAAAATGTTATTGCTTATTACAACTGCAACTTAAAAAAGGTATAAGGGGGACCTCCAAAATATTGAGGTCGGCAAAATTTTCAAATTTCGAGGGTTGATATATATATATATATTTGTATATATATATATAAAAATTATACTTTTGTGAGAGCCATAAATTGCTTCCATACACAAGAGTTAAAGCTCTGGCTTCCCGCCGAGGCCTATATATATATTTAGATATATATATATATATATATATATATATATATATATATATATATATATATATATATATATATATACAACCCGTGGTATTAGGCTCGGCATTCGGCGTTGAATGCCGACCTTACTACTGACCTAGAAGTGTTAGAGGCTGTCAAGAAATCATCGACTTTGTTTTTATGTTTTTTATGGTAAAGCCTTTGAATCAATTTTTTTTTGTAGACCTCTTTTTTTTTAATTTTGAGAGCTACATACATATATATATATATATATATATATATATATATATATATATATATATATATATATATATATATATATATATATATATATATATATATATATATATATATATATATATATATATATATATATATATATATATATGTAGGTATAGTAATTAGTGCATAAAGAACACATGTTTATCATTTATATAGAAAAATGCTAGTAAAAAACTAATTGAAAGCATGTTTTTTAGTACATTTTAGTAAAAGTACTATCATGTTATCATTTTATTATCTATATTATAAAAGTATAGATAATAAAATAATAACTATCATGTTATCATTTTATTAAAAAGTACTATCATGTTATCTCGTTTTTTATCTTTTTATTTTATATTTTTTGTTTATTTCTTTAACATATTTTATTGTAGAATTAAATCCTAAAAAGAAATTCCTTTGTGATGTAGTGGTTTTAAATCTTAATATGGTTACTGATCAAAATTTTAATTTAGTATCATTTCCTAAAAATGACTCACATTTATTGCTTGATATTGACCGCGAAAAAGTAGAAAGAAGGTTAAGATCAGCAAAAGAAAGAGTTGGTATTGGTGTTACTGCAGAGGCTCAACTCTTTTTTGATTTTCTTGCAAAGACGTAAGTTTTTTACATTTATATAAAGCTATCTATTTACTTGTATTTTATTTTGTTTTATTTTATTTTGATAAGAGCTTTTAAAACATCATATTTTTTAAATTATATAATGCACATTATAAAGTTTCCGACAAGGGAAATAAAGAAGCTACTATTACAATACAAAGTAATTATCAATTTCAATTGATATGTTTGTTAAGTTATTTCAACATAACATACACATACAAATACATATGCTTAACCATGTTGCATTTGTATGGTACAAAATAGTAATACAATGTTTGTGGTTTACTAAATTAATACAAGAACAATTTTTATTATTTAATTATTAAATTAAAAAAATTATTGTTATTAAATTTATTTAAAAAATTGTTTATCAAACTTAATATTATTTAAATACTTTGATTGGTTAATTCAGACTTGGTCGGGAAGCGGGAGCGATCACTCTCGATTGATGACCACGTAAATAATATTTAGTTGCGAAAAGCTGGCCAGATTTTTTAGTCGTTTTGAGAACATTTTAAAAAGCAAAAAAAAAAGTGCAAAAGATTAGTTGGACCGATGAGAAACAATTACAAAAAAAAAAAAAAAATTAAGCAAATAAAATATCTTTAAGCGCAAAAAAACTTAAAGTTAAATAAATTACGTTTAGAACAAATGTTTTCGAAACATCGCTCTTTTATAATTTTTTTAATAAAATTAGGCGATGTTTTTTATATAAAGTAACATCTTACAGTTGTTTAAAAAGGAAACAAATATTCTTTTGAACGAAGTTTGCAAGTTTTAGTTTTATTTAAGCTAAATTATTTTATAAATAAATAAGTTAATTTTTTAATACCTTTTTTATGTTTCGCGTAGTTTGAAGAGTTTAACATATTTGAAGCGATTCTTCTTAGTAAGATAAACAAATTAAATAATTAAATCATTGAATTACTATAGAAATTAAATTAAAAAAATAGAAATCAACTAATAAGGTTAAAAATACTTTATGACAAGGAAGCGAAACTGCTTCACAATATCGCTAATGATGTTTAGTGAGTGGGCTTTTTAATTTTAATTAGTATTTAAAGTATAACAAGTTTTAAGAATAGCAATTTAGGCGAAAATAATTAGAGTTAGTAAACCAATATCTAGAAACTTTTCTTTATATCTAATTATTTGCTATATATATTTGTGTTCTGTCGTGACCTCAGGCTCGGTGCTTGTTCATCCGCGAGTTACTTTGTATGCGTTGTTTGTGTTTAGTAACCAGAAACTTCTTATAAGTTTGTTACATAATTAGTTTTATTAACTTTAATGATTGTAACTTCATTAAAAAACGCAATTATTTTTGTAAGTCTTTGTTTAAAACATAAAAATTGCTTCAAAAGATACATTACGATAAAAAACAAATACACAAAATATTACATTTACATAAAGAATACATACTTTTTAAATAAAAATAAGAATATACTAATAAAATGTATAATTTATAATAAACTTTTAAAATTTTGACAATTTAATAAATATTTAAAACATTTATTTTTGTAAACAAGTAATATATATTCTTAATACAATTTATGCTAGAAATCTCAAAATGTAACAAATTGTGAATAATACAATTTTTAAAACATTTCAACAGAATACTCTAGAACTTTATTTCGCTTAGTCAGCGTATTTTTTGAGTTAGTTTGTTCATTAGAATAGAATTAGTTTGTTCGTTAATTTGGCGGGTCTTTAGTGTTCGCAAATATTCTTTTGATTCTTTAGCACCAAGATGTTTTAAGAACGTTCAAGTTTTTTATGTTTCCATGTATGTCCGTAAAACAAAAATTTTTTGTTTCGTACATAAACTTAAATGTTCTCAAAACGACCAAAAAACCTGGCCAGTTTTTCGCAACTAAATATAATTTCCGTGGTCAGTATTCGAGAGCGATCGCTCCCGCTTCCCGACCAATCCTGTTAATTTGCTTCACAGGTATTGATATAACAACATGAATTAATTGTCAACAATACAATTAATATCGACAAAGTTTTAAAAAGTTTTACAGTTGTTGACATAAGTCAAGTGAGATATGAATCAATTATTTGTAACATTTCTAATATATGTTTAACCAATTTAGTTTTAAATCAATTAAGTTCTAAACAAGGAAGTCATAATCTCGTATCATCGATTGTTATTATGCACAGAGGTTCAACATAAATTTATCAGGTTAATTAATGTAAGTTTATCATCTCTTATTAAAGTTTTTGCAACAATCTCTATATATTATTGCCAAATTTAATAGTTAATAGTACTACTACTATAGCAATAGCAATAGTAGTAGTACTAGTAGTAGTAGTAGTAGTAGTAGTAGTAGTAGTAGTAGTAGTAGTAGTAGTAGTAGTAGTAGTAGTAGTTGTAGTAGTAGCAGGCTTGGCTAGGAAGGCGTGCAATTTCACGTCATAATATGACCATGCAAATACTATTTGATTTTACTTAACTTGACCGCAGCTGTTAAAATGTTTTGAAAATTTGTATACGTTTTAAAAAGGCGCTAAAAAAATTATATCAAATCCTAACTTAATAAGAAAGAAACTTAAAAAATTATTGTTAATGAAGCAAATAACCCTTCCTAAAAAAAATAACGATAAGCAAAATTAAAATAACTTAACTGAAACTAAAAATAGCTAAAATAAAATTAAAACTTAACTGAAATAAATACTATAACAATAAGATTATCTAAATTACGTTTGAAATAAATAACTTCGAATTGTTTATCTTTACTAATGTTTTTATTTTATCTTTATCTTTACTAATGATTTTATTTAATCGTTTATCTTTACTAATGTTTTTATTTAATCCGTTTTAAACGCGGCCGTGGCGCAGTGGTTAGAGTGCCTGCTTTAAAGCAGGTGATCCAGGTTCAAATTGAGCTTTGAACATATTTCGCGTCACGGTAAGGAAAGAGGCGTGAATTTCCTGGTTAAATGCACTTCCGTGGTGCTCTGTGACAAGACCGTTGTCTTCTTGGGGCACTTACAAATAATAGTAATATAAAAAAAAGTAACAACTTACAACTGACGGTTATTTAATAAACGCGCACATTTAAAAGTTTAAAAAGATATTCTTAACAATTCTTTGCACAAAAGAAAAAACAATTAGATCATTTATTTAAAAAATTGATATAATTTTTTTTATTTAAAATATTTATTATAAAAAATAAATACTTATAAAATATTAAAAATACATATATTATTCATTAGTGTTTTTTTATAAAAAATCATTAGAAATGATTTGTTACTTTATTTAAATGCGATATAAAAACTTAAGTAAAGATCAAAGTTATTTAATTCAATCAGCTTTCAAAAAAGTTTGTCTTTTTTTTTCTTTTCAACAAAAACTTTACTGATTCTTATATAAAGTTTATAAAATTTAATTTTTTCTTTAAATTTTTTCTTTTTTAATTTTTACTTATAAAAAAATCTTATATAATTAAATAACATAAATAATTTAAAAGCGTTTTGCTAATATAAAAATGTTAGTAAAGATAAACCTGTTGAAGTAATTTTCAACTTAATTAAAAACCAATTATTTCAGCTCATTAGTTAAAAACCATGGTTAAATCATCAAAATAAAATATTATTTGCGTGGTCATATAATGACTTGTAATCGCATGCCTTTCTGGCCAAACCTGTAGTAGTAGTAGTAGTAGTAGTGCCCTTTCGTGTATGATTGATACAGAATCCTTGGCAGCCATTGCAACTGAGCTCGTGGTGAGAAAGAGTCGCAGCACTGTTTTATAAGAAAATGGGAATGAACGTGTTTGCAAATATTTAACGAACAAAAACTTAATATAATATGTTAAAACATACTAAAACATTTATCAAGTTTTACAGTTTGATTTTCGCTTGAAAGTTGCATTGTGTCAAGCTCTCCTTAATTTTGATCTACAGCATTTCTTTCTGTTAAAAAAATCTTATACTTTTAAAATTTTTGTTTAACAATGGTTCAGCGTGGCCAAGTGGATAGCGCGCTGAGCTTCTGAACAAGTAAGCTGTGGTTCAAGTCCTACCACTGGCAACTTTTTTTTTTTTAATTTTTTACAATTATTTTAAAATACAAAATACTTTTGAAGTTTTATGGAGATTATATACAAACATATGTCACGATATTAAACACTTTAACAAACGAAAAGAATTTAAAAAAGCTAAAATTTCTAAAATCATCAAAACACTGGGAGAAAAAATTTGTTGTGTATGTGTCATGATTGAGATACTTATGTTATTAATGTGCTCAGATAATTAGTCCTAATAAGTTGCGGGTGGTCTGAAAAAAAGTTGTCTGAAACTTAATAAAGAAAAAATTTTCTAAGACAGTTCTGCTACTCCAAGTGCTGCTGTGGAGACAAAAAAAAAAGCCCGTAGCTAAAAAAAATTTTAAACTTTCTTTTGACAATTAAAAGTTTTTTTGCTACATTTATTTTTTTACTATAAATATATGCTACAACCGTTTTTCAAAACGCCTTATTTTGCTTATTACGTATTTTGAGAAAAACGTAATTAAAAAAAAATTAAAAATTAATAATTTTTACGAACTTTTTCAGAACTCTTTGAAAATATGTATTCAATAATGTTTGTAGACATCTAAACTAACTTATTTTGTAAAAAAATCAAAATTGATATTTTTTTACCATAAAGCATTTTGAATAATGCAATATGGATGATACAACGAATATGTTGAAATGAGATTATTAGATGCATAATTTAAAATTTCTTAACAAAAGCCACTTAACCGAAAAAATTAAAATTAATTGCAGTTCAATGCACTTAATAATTTTAATAGTGTGTTGGTGTTTGCAAAGAAACATGATATAAATCATTTTCAAATTTTAATAAACTAATTTTTTTTTAACTTTATTGAGCCTTAACCATCCCTATATAAACATATAAGCAAATATGTTATTTGTTTATATATATTGTTTATAAAATGTAAAAAATCCACGTATATAACGTTTAATTCAGGATTGTATTTAATATAAGTA